TACATATCGTATGAGACATTCGCTTCCTTTTAAAACAACAAAAATTACTTTATATCCACTTTTGAGACCAATATATCTCATACGCCTCTAACCAACACCAAGGAATGCACCCACGAATCCCACAGTCTTTACCTTTATTACAACGATTGCAGCAATTATTCAGACATAGAGTTAGACAGAGTTTGTGTCGAAGTCATCATTTGGTTGTTGAAAATGTCATGAGATCATAGATTCGGGCAGTTCTCACGCCCTCACACTTACAACCATATACTGTATTGGGGCACAGGTATGCTCTGGGCAGGTATTGATTCAATTATTGCTAACCATTCCTTATTCTATGACTAAATTATTTTAGAGACAAATACTGATAGCACTAATTCAGTACAGTATAGATCACATACCAGTGCTCATCGGTTCTCATGCTTTCTTATAGCTCTTATGGACTCTTATTACTTAAGATGAGACAGATCTTGAGATAAATCGGTAAAAATCAGTTTTATTTTTACTCTTTAATACAGAGGAGAGGGGGGAGGGAGAGGGAGAGAGAGAGAATTGTTGAGAAAGTAATAATGAAAACAAATTGAAAGTTAGACTCTTGACTGAAGCCTTAAACAAAAACAAGAATTGATTAAACAGTTCGTCAAAGTTTGAAAGTTTATAAATTTTTGTAGAGAAGGAGATGTAAATAAATGGATAAATAGTTCGCATATATTCTAAACGTTAGGTGAAAACTGTGGGGAGTAATAGATAAAGATCTGTTCAATATATGGCCGCCCAGTGTTGAACCGTTCGCTCGTTTGGCCGACAAAGTTCACAGGTTGGGCACTGGTATCAGTTGAGGGCACTGATAGAAAACATGGGTCCCTCAGCAGCCTTTATGTTGTGTATCGTTATGTCCATTAGAAAAGACTCGGCTCTGAGAGGGGGCAGTGTTTCACCCAATGATTGATGGATTTAGAAAATTATTTGTAAAGAAATTTAAGGCAAAAATCAATTTCTGGCTCTTTTAGCCGTAACTGAAATGAAAAATTATAGCCGTTGTATGACGTGAGTAGTGATGCACGGCATGACACGCCAGCCCTCAACCGCCACAGTCAGAGCACTCGTCTATAAACTGTCGGCAAATATACAGTACTGTATATATCGTATGTATATATCGTATGTATATATGAGATGAATATTTGAGGCAAATTCGTTAATATTAAGTATACTTGAGAACGGAATATATTTTCAATACCTTTCTATGTATTGTACTGTATATCGTATATGTATAGCATTTCGCATATATTTAGAAAAAGGTGCAGCGCTTGCACCCACCGATTGCATAGACCGCACCGTTGCCTCTTTGGCAGCCATGTTATCTAATCTGATCCACAAAATAACATACAAAATATACACACATTTGCATTATAACAGCCAATTCACGACATGTAAACCTCGTGCTAACACTGAATACATAAATCTAAATAAAGTTCATGTCTTCGAAACTGTTGGTCCCGTTGTTTCAGCAATACTACTCTATCCACTCATTTATGCCATAAAACACTCTTTTATCTCACTTTGAGACTAAAGTCTATTAATAATAAATATTGTATACAAAGTAATAAAATAATGAAGTTTTTTGCGATCAAACTTCGTGTGTACGCACCGGACTTAACAGAGCAGTGGATGTGAAACCTGGACTCATAGTAAACCCAATCAAAGCCGGCCTCCACTGCGAGTCTGGCGAGCATCCCATACTTGGATCGGTCCCTATCACTGGTCGTTATGTCCACAGCTCTGCCCTCGTAGTGAAGAGAGTCGATCGCGTGGTGTCCCTCTTCATCCCAGCCCTCAGTGACTCTGAGTTTCACTCCCGGCCACTGATTCATCACCGAAATGGCCAGTGTGTTGAGCTTCTCCTTCAGCCTCTATACCATTCAAATCATACAAACAATGTTTAGTCATGTCTTATGTTATTCAAGTGAATGCGCACAATGAAATTGTGCACATATTTTAATTAAAGGATTTAAAATTGTCGATTTCATATGAAATAAGGATTTGAATGATGTCTATGAATCTGTGATTTAGCGTTTCATTCATGGTTTGAATGAATGAATTTTTTATGAATAAAGAGATCTATAGTTGAGTTGCGAGAAGTTATTAGTTGAGAGAAATTGGGTTTTGGGCCGTAAATAGGAGTTTGAATGACACAAGTAGTTGAGTGGTATGTTTGGTGAGCTGTCACGACAAATGGCTTTGCTGTGAATCAAATGCTTATTTATTCACAGGTGTACTCAACAAATGTTTTGATAGACACGAAAGACACGAATAGACACCACTTTCCATTCATTCAATTTATATTATATTTGGTGTTATTTTTGTGAAAACTGCTGACAATAAAGCTGAACAAAAGGCCAATCACTGACAGATTAGAGGCCAACAAAATAGTCAATAGCTTCTACATCGGCGGCCTTTTCGGGAATTTGGTGTTGAGGGGGAACTATGGGTCCAATAATGGCTACTATTGTTATTTTAATCACAAGAGCCCATCTCACGAGCTATGAGCTATGCAAAGCTCTTTTACAAGCCGTTGCCCACTAATGGCAGTTCTCAACCTTTCCTATTGTTTGTCTTTGTGGCCAAACTGCGAATATCGACTGCACAGTTAACACAGGTATAGTGGCTATAGTGGTGGCTATATATACTGTACAGTGAGTGTAGTGTGGTCTTTGCTATTGCTCTTGGTATTGGTATAGGGTCTCAACCAATTTGGACCACATATTTGTGTTCAGTTAAGCAAAAAGTATATTTAGTATTAGAGAAGTATTGAAAAAATGATTTCAATGTCAAACAGGATGTTATAAAAGCACTTAAACTAAACTCTAAACAATTGGCCAACAATTGCCAAATTGGACCGCTTTTTGTCTCTTTGTGTTTCGCAAACAAGTTTTGGTCACTCGTATCATGTGTTAGGGGAGTCGGGAGGTGTGATGCCTATAGATGGTATGGTATGGATGAGTGTATGTATGTATGTATATGTATGGAGAGTGTGGTAGTGTTGGACGTGATGGTGAGGACGGGTGGCTGTAATGGCCGGGCATGTAGTGACCGGTGCAATGTTTAGTCACTTTTGGGAATACGGTTGGAATTCAAGCCCTGGAGCGCAAGCAAAGGCACATCTATTGCACTGTTGGAGTAGATGTCGAGCAAAATGTTGGGATGGGGTGATAGAGACCGTGGGAATCGAGTTGTGAGGTTGTGAGGGATGTCTACTTTGAATAGTACAACAGAACTGAGAGTTTGGAGCTTAAGGTGAGCTGAGGTGAAGTGAAGTGAGCGCAGGGAGAGAGGGTGAGGGTGTTTGAATTGGATGCCACAGTGGGTGGCGATTGGCTTATGTCTTGAAATTAGGACAATAAAACTTTTACGCTTTCTTATCGCTAGGCATAGGTTATCAGATATGCCATACCTATGCTCTCCTTGTAATTTGCACCTTCCCGCTAGCTCAGGGTGACCACAGTTACTTTTTTTGGTGCACAACCAGCACCTCAGGCATCAACATAATGGGCATAAACTATACTCTCCTTTGCTTTTTGCTTACCTTATACTTAAGCTTCTCTACACTATAGCTAATAATTGTTAATATTATATGTGAAGAAGAATTATATTAGAGTTATATTTATTATTATATATATTATTATAATTATATAGAAAACAGAGTCCACTCGACGGCTGCGCCGAAAACTCTTACTCTTCATTCAAATCTATACATCGTTTTCATTGTATTCTTGCGTTTATGATATCTTTGCACAAAATCTTATCAATTATCACTTGATAGACAGACATCAACAAAATAAGCGACAATTTATTCATTAACACACTCTCTCTAAAACATAAAACACAGACAAACTTTAACTCAAAGCCTATGCAAAGTCTACAACACAACCGATTGTTTTAATTATCGACTCACAGCTAAAACTTTTAAAAATTATTCTTTAAATTAAAGTCTAGTTGAGAGACAAATACAGTACAGTATTAATACTGAATGTATAGTGAAGTGTCGTAAAGTGAGAGCAAAAGAAAAGCACACATACCTGAGTCATGAGTCTGTCAGCTCCCGTTCCCTCTTCATCTTTGAATATGATATCGTTGTTATAATTTGGCACTAATTCTCTAAACCTCTGCTGATCTTTGGACACTTTGCCATCAGGCTGTCCACTGGCGCCTAATGTATTTTCAGACACATTGGGAACGTGTTGTTTGAATACAAGAGGAGTTAGTTTTCGTGGACTTCTTCGTCTGCCTCCACCTCTTCCCGGACCACAAGCATGAGTCACATCAATGAATAACATGATGACTATTAATAAAGCAATTGTCGCAGAGATGGGACACGATTTGGACACAGAATAAGCTGTAGGTCTATGAGGTCTATATAGTGGTCTATGTTTCACAGTTCTGGTCGAGTCTGGCGAAGAGGTGGCAGAGATGTCGGCAGAGATGGTGTGAGAGGTGGTGGTGATGGGAGAGATGGTTGAGTGAATGGCCCGGGAAGAAGACACACACAAACAATGCATACAATGAGACAATGGATCGGCGAAATTGAAATCGAAATTAATGGTGGTTTGAATGGGATGTATGGGATGTATGGGATGTATGGGGCCGGTAGTGTGAATGGTAGTGGTGAGGCAATTGATGGGCCAAATGAATGGCCAGTTTGGCCTCCGAGTCGGCATATCATATGAGATGTGATGCGTTGGAACAATGGCTGTAAAAATTGAATTAAAAAATCATTTCATTGGAAGAAGAAGTAGAGGTGGGAAGAGAAGTGATGGCACGACTAAACAACCTGTAGGCAGGTATGCCAGGGTATGTTAGGCTCACATACTATACCACCACATCAACAGCCATCCAATGATCTCTCAGAAGCTATGGCAGAGCTGTGGCTGTGTTAGCGATGTTTGGATTCGCTTTAACTCCAGTTAATTACAATCAACTTATATAAGACTCGTTAGGCTATCACTTATGGTATGTATAACTTAGGCTATCACTTGTTGGGTCCCCTTTGTATAGCTTATGAGCACCAAAAGCACCAAAACTACCAAAACTACCAAAACTAAGAACTCAACCACTATTTGGCCCGCAGGCAGAGCCCAACACCAAAATAGTCCAAACAAGCATCGGTTGAGTTTGCAAACAGTTATACATAAATAAAATTTTAAAACACTTACAGAAAGCACTGAATTAGTAGTGAATTGGCAATAGTTTTGAGTGTTAAGGACTAAATTCATTTTATTATTCATCTCTTTTCTAAACATCCAATCGTTTGCACATATCTTACAAACAGCTCTAAACCTAAACACTTAAGGGGTTGGGTTTGGCCTATTGTGGAGAGAAAGTGCTAACTCCCTGACCAATCAATGCTACCGGTGCTACCAAACAACCCGAACACAACCGGCCGACTAATAGTGAATTATCGCGTACAGTGAACATGTAGTCAAACTTATATGACTAATGAGAAGTACATCATTGAATACTTGAAACACTATAATCTATTGTCAGAAACAAAGTCAAATATCATAAACATTCATAACATTTCAATCGGAGCTATAATTTTGATGTTAACGCTTCCAACAGCAACTCATTTGTGTTCAACTTATTATGTTTTGAAAAGTTTTCATTTAAGTTCATATTATTTGAAATATGATAGAAGATCTCAAACACCAGATTAGCCCACGATTCCTATGTCCAGACCTATTGAAACCAAATACCCTGATGATAAGCATTCGGTGATATTCATTGATAGTGGCTGTCACTAGCAGTGCCTATCATAAGTCAAATATATTTTGTAAAAATATTTTTGTCGATAATAAGCTATAAATTTAAGCGATAATTGAGAAAATAGACAAAAATAAATCAAATGTTAAATTATGTTTTTCATAACTAATAAACGATGAAAATTGAAAATAAAACATTTATCTATGGGATGACAACTATTGGCAAAAGCAAATCACAATCATTACTACAGAGTTAGTTTCAATGATTGCTAAAAAACGGCCTCACTTTTGGTCAGATATACAGCACAGACAGTGAGTATAGAGTAGTTTGGCTGTTGTTGAGGGCATGGGTTTGTTGTACACCTCACAAATGATTTGATGCCATTGTGTGCTAACCTGTATGTGTGTTTTGGCATATGTTTGCAGGTTTGGTGTTATGTCTATCTATTAACTTATTAAAGCATTTATGTTTTGGTGCCCTTCCTTTACAAAGACGCTCAGGTAGTTTAGGGGAGAGAGTGAGTGAGTGAGGAGAGAGAGAGAGAGAGAGAGAGAGAGAGACTGCAATATTTTTGAGAACAATAACAAATTGAGTTAATATGGTTAGTAAATGGTACGACTGGCCAATTGGGTATTTAACGCTTCACAGGTAATTAATGAGAAACTTATCCCAAAGGGTATAAATAAGGCTTAATATGGAAAACATTTGTTTTCGTGTTAATCATTAATGTTTGAATATTTATCATTCAAAAGCACTTTAAATTGTTATCATAACAAATAAATCAAACTTATAAGCGATTAGTAATAATTTTTTTTATTAACAAATTTACGAATCGTTTGTAATAAAAAATACTTTCGTTGCTAGTATTATATATAGGATTTGAGTGACTATTTTCACTTTCAATTTAGATTAAGAATTCATTTTAAAAGCGATATATTTTTAGATTAATAACATTAGAAAAATATTTATCAACAAGAATTTGCTTCATTTGACACAAATGTCATTATAATGGCTTCGATAAAAAGTTCATAAAAAGTTAGAAAACTATTTTGTAATCAACTTTTTTTAATTAAAAAATTCAAATTCATTCAAAAAAGGTCTAAACTTATAAATACTTATTGTCTAACTTTTGCGAGATGTTTTAAAAGCAATTTGGTTTCAATAAGTTTAGACGAAAGCACTTATGTTTTATGTTCTGAGTTCTAACTAATTGGAAACACCAGTAAAAGAGCATAAAAATCAATAAAAATATTTACTACTTAGTAGTCAGTAATAGTTTTGCACAAAAAAGTAATAAACGGTTTCAAAATTTAATGGAATTTTCAAATAAATAGGAGAATATATAGTATATAAGGATAGGAGGATAGGGGGTGCGCGAGGACATTCACCTGGCGTTGGGAGGGGGCTCACCAACCAGCACCCAAAATACCTACACATCCAGACGCTGGACCCACAAAACTGTCTAATGTAGGCTAATGTCTAAAATACCTATTCATTTAACTATGTTGTGATACTTTCGATGACAGAATGTCTCAAATATTAGACACTATTATTTATTAACAAATAACTTCACATTTAATAAAACTATTTAATTTTAATGTTATAAATTCTATAACTTATTAGTAATATTCTTGTATAAGTGTTACATATTTACTAAATATTGAAGGATTAGTGTAAAAAAGTTGATCAAAACTATAATCCAATTGCTTTATGTAGAACTCTAATGAAAAGGCAAAATGAAATGAATGGAAAAGTTTTCATGAATTTGAGTGAAGAAAATGTATTTTTAATATAAGATTTTGTGGACGATTTGTGAACGCTTTCACCTCCCGTCGACTCGGGATTGCAGTGATGTTTAAGTAGTGATAGTATATGTTGTGGTTTGGGATGTATTAGTTGACAATTTAAATGAGTTTTCATGGTTTATGTGTTGCTGTTATTGAAACAAATTTATTGTGTGTTGTTATTATGCGCCGATTTATGGATATTAGAGTCGCTATCAAACCAATCAAAACCTGATTCGTAATCATTGTATTGGTGTTAATACTGTCTTATGAATAACCCCTACCAGTCCCCTATAAATGCCATACCGGTGCCTTAGAGTCCCCTACTGTCATATACATCAACAGTAAGATTATGTCGCCGTTTAAGAGAACAGGGCTTAGAGTTAGCATTAGAAGCAATACTATTATGAGTTATATTAAAGTAATTAAACTTTAATTCCTATCTCTAATCGTAATAATGATGGCAAACACTGGCAAACAGTGAAGCCTTCAGTGCTTTTCATTCATATATTATTAATGTTGTGTTTGTTGTGCTTTTCGGCTAATTTCGGCCAAATTGAGAGAAATATTTTCGAGTTTTGTATTCATTTAAATTCATGATAGCATTGATTGCATTCCTGTAAATGTATGGCATATACAGTATATTCAGTGCAAAACTATAAGCAGTAATCATATTGAATGTTGTGGTGAATGGTCGGCCACTAGCGGAGGAGCACAGGCAGAGGCACTGTTGCTGTGTTGGGCCAGCACTGTATCTGAGAGCACAGGTAGGCAGTGGTATGTCCCGGGGCAGTGGCATTAGCGATGGGTGAACATGACGGCCTCCCGCTGGCGAGCTATGAGCTATGTTTCGATACCAAAGTCTACATATATTACACACATTCCGCTCAATACTACTAATACTAACTCAATGTTGAGGGCAGCGAAGGGCCGCTCATGTCGTTTGTCTCTCTCTCTCTCTCTCTCTCTCTCTCTCTCTCTCTCTCTNCTTTGGTATCGAAACATAGCTCATAGCTCGCCAGCGGGAGGCCGTCATGTTCACCCATCGCTAATGCCACTGCCCCGGGACATACCACTGCCTACCTGTGCTCTCATATACTACTCTACAGTACTCTTCACTTTAAAGGATTCGTTAGTTTTCTTTACAAGAATTCAAATAAACGCCAAAACTATAGCCAAACAATCCATACAAATAGTTGAACCAAAAACTGAATTATTTTCAAATAGAAAAGTCGAAAGAAATCATTGCTTTTCTGCCGATATTTAATGCATTTTCCAACAAAACACTCATTCGAGTTGACAATAGGTAACACCCATTCCTATCTCCCTGTGCACTGTCTCCTCGTCTCTGTCCTTCTCATTCAGTCTCGTATCGATGTTTGCTTTCATGTACTCATTCACAAACACTGGTAAACATATTCTGATAAAAGACTGACAAATGTATGATATTTTTTGCATAAATAGTGGTATGTATTGAATGATTGAATGGATGGGCACGAGACCCAACACCGGAGACCCAACACTGGAGGTCTTCAATGTAGGTCTGCGTAACGCGAGGAGTGACCCCTCTTTAACCTATCACTTGTGGGGTCTTCTTGTGGGGTTCACCCCATCCAACACATCCAACACATACTCTTTTACTACAAATCTATTACGAAACTAATAACACCAGTGTTAATTACCTAATATTATTAGCAATTTAGCTCATTATTTGCATATTAATTATGCTTTTAATATGATATAATTTCTATTTTATGTAAATTAATTATTTTCATTAATTTGTATAAAAACTATGATTTCTACGAGTAATGCGATTTCAATTCATAAAATATTTCTATTGAAATGATTTTCTAAAGAATATTTATTTGTATATTATATAAATATTGATTATTTTATTTGTAAACTCAGTGTAAATGAATTTTAATCTTAAAAATGCATTGAACAGTGAGTTAAATAAATACGAAACTTCAATAGAAATCACTGAATTACAAGTGTTTGTCTGAAATCTGTTGAATATTTCACAAAATTGATAAAATATTTATATTTTATAGAAAATATTAAGTGTCATTAGATTTGAAAAAGTATTTTGTTTACCATTAAAAGAAACCCTCAAAGAGTCGACACTTTTAGTCGACAAATACAATACTTTAAGTACTTTTTGAAAAGAAAGTTAATAACGAATTATAAACTATTTATTTATATAACA